TACATAAGAGAACACTACTACAACCATCTCTTAGGATCCCACAAGTGCAATGTGCAAGAGAAGTCCCATACCCTCCCTTACACAATGTAGAAACCCTTAGGAAAGCCCTAGTAAGATTTCACACCTTTCATACCTTCATTTAGTTTTACATTAGGGAGATATTGTCATAACCGACATAGACCATAAGAGCTACATGGAATCCGGTGTTCTACTCCCACACCGAAAAGAGAGGGTTAACACTTGCCTAAGGTGTAACCATTCGTACATAGCTATCTAGGTGGATCCACTAAGCTAAAGTCCTATGTGGGCACATAGTTAAGGGTCAAGGAGATTGCACTTAGAAATCCTAACTTACTAAACGTGGGGGATTTCAATCTCATGAGACAACCCATACCGTGGGTAATCCAGACTTGCTAAACGTGAGGAAACCCATGTGGAGAGCCGAACTTACTAAATGTGAGACCTCCATCTCATTTACATGACCTTTCGGTGCTAAGCATCTAATTCCCTTTTGTAATCATCTTTAGTCATCACATAAGTTCACATTAGCCTTTACTAGACTCTTATGTAAACATATTACCATAATAGCTCATAGGTGTTCATAAGTGAGTAACAATCCTTTCACTTTAGAAACACTTAGTAAGTGAGTAATCCTTTCACTTTACAATACACTATAATCATGAGAACTACCTTTCAATCATATAGCAATCATACCATAACATACATACATATTTCATAGCTAATTCAAGTGTAGAGGGTTAAGGATGAGGAAACTAGGTCATCAATACCACAACAACACATTAGGTATAGCATCATTACAATCTAAGTAATTCACCTTTCATACTTGAGTTCAAAGAAGAACCAACCTTCATACCTTTTTGCCCTTCATAGGACATTCATACTTCAATCACCAATCAGTTCATAACCAATACATAATACAAGGTAATTCAGGAAGTAATACATAATCAACATCAATATAAGCAATTGACATATTCCCTTGAAGGCTTCATTCAAAGACTCAACCCTAATTTCATAGAAACTATATATAACCTAGGGTAAAATCATCATACAAACATGAATTACATAACATCACATTCGATTCATAGCCTTCACTCAATACCAAACACAAACTAGGGTTAGAATTAGGAAAAAAAGAAGAAACATGGGTCTCATGGGGAATTCTTCAAGAAACCACAAATACAACATAAATTCATTCATAATTGTTCATATAACATCAATCAAATTCAGTTTATAACATCAATTTCACTTTAGAAAGAAGACCCACGTTTTGGGATTGAAAACCTAGAAATTGGAGTTTTTGAAATTTATCTTGAAGGGACCTCTTGGGGAAAGGAATCCCAAGAGTGATAAGCAACCATACCTTAGTTGATTCCTTGAGAATCAATAGAGAAACTCCAAGAAATTTGTGAAAGAACCTTGAAACCCTAGCTCCAATGTATTCTTCTTCTTCTAAGGTTTTTTTTTAGATGGAGTGTTTAGAGAGAAGTAGGAGAGTTTTGAGTTCAATTGGGTGTTGTGTATAATGACCATAACTTGTGAATTTAGACTTAAAAACCAATATATAATTAACATCTTTAAAAATACCCAAAACACCCCTACTTAAATAGGACTTAAAAGGAAAAGTCCCAAAACTCTTCATTTAAATGGTCCCCGTCAGGGACCACGACCAATATTCACGGACCGTGAAAGTGCACCACGGGCCGTGGTACTGCCCGTGGTGTTGGAGGCAGTGGTTCCCCTTTCGTGCACAAGCCAAAACTTGGCCAAGGCAAGGCCACGGAGCCTCCCACGATCCGTGGTCATGACCACAGTCCGTGGTGATGGTCTCGGTCATGACTTGGCCTTATGGAGGCAAGGCCTTCAAGCCTTGGTGTCAAATGATGTTCACGAGCCACCGCTCTCCCTCGTCAAGTGAACCACGGCCCGTAGTGGTGCCCGTGGTGCCTTGGGCAGTAGCTACCTTAACAACCCGCAACTCCCTAAAACCCAAGAGAACTACACGCCCACCTTCACGAGCCGTGACGTGGACCATGACTCGTGGTCCCTCTCGTGAAGGGTCAGGAAGTGTCTGGGACACTTAGAGGTCCCTCTCCCTTGACCAAGGAAACTCCATGAAGCCTCCCACGGTCCGTGGTCATGACCACGAGCCGTGGTAATGGCTGTGGAGTGTGAGGTAGTCGCTCCAAATTTGGGGCAGCCTTCGCCTTAGGCCTTGGCTTGCCCCTTTTGTTTGGCAGTTGTCCTTTAGGCCTTAACTCACAAACCACCAAAACACACCTAGATGGTCTACTGACTTAGGGGAATTCATATTATACCTCATTGACACTACGTTTAGGCTCTAGTTCAACCTACAAAATTTCCGGGGTGCTACAATACTTTCCCATTCTGTCTCCAAGTGCTGCAACATGCTTATTTCCCCTTCCTTTTTCTTGTTTGAAGTTGTAATGTTGTTAAAATCCTCTCTTATTCATGTCTGGAAATTGTGTGAACTCCTGCCATATTTTTATTAGCATTATTTTGCTGATTTATTCATATATAAAGTACTCAATTTCATAAGTTTGTTGTTACTTCTCTTAATGGTATAAGTGTATAATATTAAACTTGTATCTTTCATTTTTGTTACTTTTCTTTCTTTTACTAAAATCAATGCTTGCGAGCCATGACCTTTGTCTTTTTTTTCCTCAAGACTCGGTCTTCTCTTACTCTTATATTATCCTATTTTAAACTCAATGATATTGATTCCCGTTAGGAGGAGCATGGTTGGTCCATTTACTTTCTGGTTAGTCTCAGTTGGTGGAATGTAGTTGTCTTTTGATGCCTATTTTTTTATTTACTTGTTGGGTCTTAATATTTTTGTTTAAAATCAAGTAGTAATTAACCAATCATGGTCTGGTTATCCTATCCAAAATAGCCTTAGATAATATCTTAAAGTTTAATGATGGAGCTTTGTGTTTATTTATTTGAAATTTGTTGTCATTAATCATCTATGGTATTTAAGGTCTTCTTTTGTGATTGATTCAGAAAACTATATGATCTGTCCCTATTTCTATTTATTTTTTAGGCTTAAAATTAAGAGCAGTTATATATTGATTTAGTCTATTTGGCATTTTCATGTATTAAATCATTGAGTTGTCACTTACGTGCGTATTTGTTTATGTTTGCATGTGAACGCTATGCAAGTCCGATCGCACTTAAGCTTCCGCCTATGCATTTCGAAATGGGCCACAAAGGCCCCAAAATTCTCTATTCCAGTCGGCCGGTCATTAAAAGTCGACGTACATGTCCCGAAGTTGAAAGAAGCAATAGATCGAGAAGTTGAAAAGATTGGGCCAAAGGCCCACTCTTAATTCAAATTGTATTTTATTACTTTTGGGCCTAAGCCCACTTATCTATTATGTTGCTAGAATTTAGGATAGGTGAATAATTGGGCCTTTGGCCCAAAGGCCCAAAACAAAAATGGGCCCAAATACTGGCCCAGGGTGACAGGAAAACCAGATTTGGGCCCAAATCTATTTCCCTCTTCATTTTGATTATGTTTGTTTACTTGTTAATGTTTGTTGTTAATCTTAAGGTCGAAAAAATTCAAATCACCGAAAGACACCCGTTTTGACCTAACAATTTAACTAAATCGGTCTTTTAAATGAACTTAAAGAATAACTAGGTCTTGTCTAAACCAACTCTTAGTCAACTAGCGTAGAGCGAAACCAAATCACTTTTACCGCACTGAACTAAGATGGCTCAACATCCAAGGCGCGTTGGGCCCATTAGAGAGACCACCTTTAGTCCAAAACGGCTCACGGCCTAAACGAGTGATCATACTTATGTGTTTAAATTTGAAGGATGGATACGTTGTTTGAAAAATCATTGTTCCTTGGGGGTTGAGAGTTTAATAGTTTGTTCTAGTCTAAAACAGAGTTGTAGAAGCTACTATTCCATCTAAAATGTAGACATTCAGAGACGACAAAAAATCAAGGATGAAGAACCTTTAATGGATGCATAGTTTAGTATTGTACCCCTGCGTGGGACTGATTATTTGTACTCTATATTCCCCATTATGTATCTTCATTCAGATTATTCACAAATTTTTTATAAATTTGGATTTTTGGGGCAATGGGTTGTTTCAAACGACGATATACATCCTTCGAATCGCTAGGCCTACCTTTGGCTCAACAGGGTCACATATTTGTTTACAACACGCAATATTGCTTATGTGTTATAACTGATTGTGTGAATATGTTGCTTTATTTGAAGATATTCTATCTCTCTCTTCAAAATATTTTCTAGAACCCTTTAGGCACAAATACTTCTCGAGTCTTTAGTTTCCCAACAAAATTTGAACTTCATTTTTCACATCTTACTTTCTCATTTCAGAAAAAAGGTTAAGATTTTATCTCAAATCTAAAAAATGTGCAAGGGTCGAACTACATAGGACCTAAATTCTCCCTCATGAGATACGTAGGCAGCTTTTCTAGGCTCGGTCCCATTATTAAAAAACTTTATCTTTTCCAACTCTAGCAAAGAGATTAGAGTTTCATATCGATCGAAAATCAGAAGTACAACAATGAAATATACAACCGACTTTGTCTCGACTCAGGTCGACATTTCTGATTCACTAAGGTCAAAATCAAATAGACAAATTCCTGTCTATTTAGTCATTTCTCTATATATGCGGGTTGGTTTATCTTCAAATGAAATAACTCTTATGTGTCTATAGTAATGTGTGTGATAGTTTGTATTAATTATCACCGACACAGACTAACACATTTGCCTTTGAGTTGTTTTTCTTTGTCAGGTACTCAAAACTGATTTGTGTTGAGAAATTGTTTGAACATTCAAAGTTCTCAAATATTCCTTCCCCAATCGAATTTTTTTGAAAGGAAAAAAGAAAAATTACTCAGAATAGTGAGAATATTGGACCGACCGAAGTTGCTATAGTCCAGCCCCCTACCGTTGAATAAAATGAGTTAATTGCACAGTTGATGCAACAAATTGCTGAGTTGAGGGCTAAGCTGCAGAAAAACCAAGATTTGTCAATTCTGGTTGTCGTTATCAACAATTCAAGTGATGGAATGCTTCCACTCCATTTTCCTCCTCTGAATTCAAACTCGGAACATGTCCTAAATAACCCACTCTTTAACCCAGTTCAAAATCCCTCCACCATCAACTTAACTATCCCAAATCTTCATCACACCAACACTGCATACCAAGTACCACCTCCTCTTCGAAGCCTGCATCCCAACCCTTAAGTTTTTCCTCCCCTTCAAAACCAAAATGCAAATAACTCTCAAACATTTCCTCAATTTCAAAGCTTTAATGTCAACAATCCTCAAACATCTCATTTCATGTACTAGACCCCTGCAAAAGGCACTAAAAATCCACCAAATGCTCAATCCCTACAACCAAAAGTCACTTTTGATATCCCAGTACAAACTGAACCACACCTTCACTATACTACTTATTCCCAACTTGACCACTACGAAGAGAAGGAGAAGGAGTGGAGAGCCAAAGAGGAAAAGACTAAGAAGATCATGAAGGAAGAAATTGCGAAAGTGATAAAAGAACTTGATTACTCTTTAAAAGAGGTGGGAATGAACTACGAAAATTTATGCATTCACCCAGATTTTGACCTTCCGGAAGGGTCCAAAGTGCCAAAATGTGTCACTTTTAATGGTACTGGAAATCCTCTAGCACATCTTAAAGCTTATTGTTATCAACTCGTGGGGGTTGACAAAAAATGAAGCATTGTTGATGCGCCTCTTCAGTCGAAGTCTAAGTGGAGAAGCTCTGGAGTGGTTTACATCGCAAGAATTGAAACAATGGACGACTTGGAATGCACTCGCAAAAGATTTCACTGAAAGATTTTGACATAATGTAGAAGTTGCCCCAGATCGCTACTACTTGGAGAAGATCAAACAGAGGTCTACAGAAAATTATCGAGAGTACGGTCTTCTTTGGAGAAAAGAGGCCGCAAGAGTTCAACCTCCCATGTCTAAGCGTGAGATCACTGAAATGGTTATTCGAACTCAAGAGCCTCAGTACTATGAAAGAAAGTTGTGTATGATGGGACAAAAATTTGTCAAGATCGTCAAACTGGGAGAAGTTTTGGAAGATGGTTTCAAGACTGGAAAGGTCACAAACCTTACTGCATTGCGAGCTAGTGACAAACCTACCAAAATTAGTGGTGTGAATACGTCAAAAGGAAAAGTAGAAGAGGTATATGCAGTAACGGTTACCCATATGCAATCGGCTCTACAAAGGAGACATCAAAACCACAATGTCAATCAGAAACGATTCCCTCGTCCAAACTTTAGGAATCCTCCTAAAGTATTTACACCACTAAGGGAATCTCAAACTCAACTTTATGAAAGGTTGAGAGCAATGTGTATGCTCCATCCTATAGAAGGAAGACCAACCAATCCTTTGGGAGAATTTTACAGGGCTGACCACAAATGTGCTTATCATCCAGGAACGGTTGGACACGACACAGAGAATTGTTCAACCCTCAAGCACAAAATTCAAAACATGATCAACAATAATTTAACCAATATTAATTAAGCCTCCCGAATGATAACTTATTAGATGCTAAAGAGTAAGTACATGACATTTCTGAACAGAGTCATTTGAAGATATTCACCATCAAAGAAGTATGCCCAGCATTGGCCATATTTTTGCATACGAAGTTATTGTTATCTTTGTTTCAAAAATGCATATTTAATCTTTTTTTTCTTTTGTCGTGCATTCCTTGTAATGAACTACGTTCGACCTAAATTCTCAAGAATGAGATACGTAGGCGGCCTATGTCGGCCTCGGTTGTTTCCTTATCAAAATTTCCTATTTTTGTTAATCCTTGAGAGGGGGAACTACGTTTGACATGATTCCTGCCTCAACGGGATACGTATGCGCCACAACGGCTCGGTCATATTTCTCGTAAGATTTCTATATCTTTTATAAATAGAATCCGAGACAAATTTTTTTAGAGGATCTCAAAAATTCATTTGAGAAGATCTCTTCAACAAATCAAGACTGAAGATCAAAATGCTACAGGGTTGGTTTTGAGTGGATCTCCTAAAATTCAGATGAATTTTTTTAAAGAATCAGGTTTGCAACTGGGACATAATTTTTGAGGTGATCTCAACAATTCCACAAAAATGTCATTGGCTAAATGACTTATACCTATGATTATTAAAGCAAACTCAGACAGAATTTTGAAGAGGGACCTCAAATTTCCAAAATGAGCAACCTCAAAATTAACAAAGCAAGTTGCAAGGGTTTTCCCGTATTTTAGACTGGGACATAATTTTTTAGGAAGGTCCTCAAAAATTCCATCAAGACTATCTTGCAAAGGACGGACGAGCGTGTAAGCTGACCGCATCAAGGAGCATGGAGACAAGACCAACACAAACCAGTCTTTCAAACTAAGAATTTTTCTTTGGATGCAGGAACAACGAAGTCACAAAGATGGCAATGTAAAGCTATCAAGAGTGACAAAAAGTGTCATTTACACCTATCGTGGCCTCATCAACATAACTTAAAAAACTTTCCATCTCATTTTATCTTCATTTCATCATGTTGCGTGAAGTGATTTATAAACATTTTCTTTTTATTTTTTCATAAATATTTAAGAGAAACACTAATAGATTCTTTCAAAGTTTTAAGAAACAACGAGTTGGAGAATCTCAAGTGACAAGTCACGATCAAAGTCACAATTAGGCTTATCATAGCCTAATCCTGATAAGAAAAATGACTTAATCTAGCGCTTTATCTTTAATTTTATTCTTTACTTCATCATCGATATTAATGTTTGGTGTCAAGCTTTGCAGGTGATAGTATTGATAAAGTCAGGATCATCTGTGAATTCGACATCAAATATGAAAGATGATAAAAAACTAACACTATTTTGGAAGTGTTGCAAGGGAAAATAACCAAGTCCATCACATCAGAATAGATGTTGGAGATTGCAACATCCTCATGACAGTCGAAGTTAACGAAATGCTACAAGTTTTCGATAATGATTGAAGATGTCAACAACAAACTCAAATTTTGTTGAGTTTGTCTTGAAAGACGGGATAGACTTTAATCTTCGTGTGAAAGAATTAAGTTATTCACCTCGATAATTCTGTCTTTTAAAGAGAGAATCATAGTCGCGACATGCATATACGTCGATATAGTTTTTTAGTATGATCGGCATACGTGTTGCTTGACAATGTTGGGGTCAAGATTTCAAAATTTGTTAGGTATCCACCCCATAAGTGGATTATGTGCTTTGATTGGTTGAGCAAAGACTTTAGTATATAGTTTTGTTAGGCGATCCACCCTATAAGTGGTTCGTATATTTGTTTGTCCATTTCAGGTTCCTATTTTGAATTATGTTGGGTTATTATCGAGACATCCACCCCGTTACAGTTGGAATATTATCGAGCATCCACCTCATTACAGTTGAAATATTATCGAGCCTCTACCTCATAACAGTTGGAATATTATCGGGCCTCCACCTCGTTATAGTTGGAATATTATCAAGCTATCCACATCGTTACAGTTGGAATATTATCGAATTATCTACCTCATTACAGTTGTAATATTATCGAGACATGCACCTCGTTACAGTTGGTATATTATCGAGTATATACCTCGTTACAGTTGGAATATTATCGACCCATCCTCCTCATTACAGTTGGAATATTATCGAGTATCTACCTCGTTATAGTTGGAATATTATCAAGACACCTACCTCGTTACAATTGGAATATTATCGAGCATCCACCTCGTTACAGTTGGAATATTATTGAGCCATCTGCCTCGTTACAATTGGAATATTATCGAGCTTCCACCTTGTCACAGTTGGAATATTATCGAGCCTCCACTTCGTTATAGTTGGAATATTATCTAGTTATCCACCTCATTACAGTTGGAATATGATCGAGGCTCCACCTCGTTACAGTTGGAATATTATCGAGCCATCCACCTCGTTACAGTTGGAATATTATCGAGCATCCACCTTGTTACAATTGGATTATTATCGAGTATCCACCTCGTTACCGTTGGATCATTATCAAGCCATCTAACTTGTTGTTGAGATCATAAGAGTTTGTCATGCACAAAACAAGCAATGAAATCTCCAAATCCTCAACAAATCATGAGTTATAATGGACACACGATGTTCGAAAGTGATATCCATTATCTTGTATTCTCAATACTCCTTTATTTTTCTCACTAGTTTAAAATGATGTTTATGCCTATTCATCAAGATATACTCATTTATTATATAAGTGATCTGTCTTTATTTTTTTACTCAAGCCGCTACCTAAAGTGACACTATGTCTACTAATTATTTAGTTTGAGTGCGCAGACATGTACTGAACATACCTATATTACATCTTTCAAAGGAAGAGTAAATTCAAAATACCAAGGCAATGACGTATCCACAGAAACGTGCAAGAACATAACTAAAAAAGTATCGTAAGAGATGTTACCATTTCCTTCAATTATAGTTTTTACTAACAAGTTTATTTCAGTCTTTGTCGAAATCATCCAAGAGGATGAATTCTCAAATCAAACCACAAGTGCAGACGACATCAATAAGGATGCAACACAACGTGGAACTTTTTCTTAGCAGTGAACTGGGACAGAGTTCGAAGAATAGTATCAAACTCTTAGGACGCGAGCTGAGGAGCGACTTCCACCACAATCAAACCACCTCCCAATCAGAAGGCATGTGGGTTTTTCTTTGGGTTTATCGGTTTCAGTTTCGCATCCGAAAAACTTTGATTTTCACTAGGAGCAACTTGCTAATCTGAGTGACGATGCACCAAGAGCTTTGGAAATTATGTCCATGCAAGTTCTTAATTATGGATGTGAAGAGCTCCACATTCATACCAAAGAGGTTTCAAACCTCTTTTTCATACTCGACTTACGTGTGACTCCTCCATAACTAAAGGTTATCTTGCAAAATAGATTTCCTTTTCAACTGATCGAGTCGAACCACAAGCAGCCTGATTCCTAATGTTTAAGGGTATGTAAGCGGGCTCAATGTTGAAAACTCCGTTGTACTATAACATTCTCTTGTAAATCTTATTCTCGAGCATTTCGGTCCCTTCATAATTTTGTGTCGGGATAACTTTTGAATCCTTTAATAATCGTGCATTAAATCAAGCGTATCGAACTACAAGTGGCCTGAATTCTCATATAGCCTAGGATATGTAGGAAACCCGATTCCGAGGTCCGACCATAATTCTTAAAGTTCAAACCAAAAGCTCTTTTCTGAAAGATGAAGATGTGGTCGGTCAAAATTGGATTTGTCAATTCATTTGCCTAGGATTTCTTTCATCAATCCAACTCAAATGAGGGACAATTGTTGACACCCAGTTTTGGACCTCCACGATATAGATTAATTATCAAGCTTCTTTAATTTTTAAACCATTTAAAATAATTAGTTTTATAAAATTTCAAAAATAGTGTGCAGGTTATTTTAAATAGTTGTCATATTTATAATTTTTTTAATAATATATGTGTTTTACAAATCTTCGAAATTCATCTTAAAAAGATTTTAGTTTTTCTTAAATATTGGGTTAATTAGTTTAGTTATATAATTGTATATATTTTTTTAAATAATTAGTTTATAATTAAGTTAATTATTTTATTTTATTAAGATTAAGAAGCACGTTAATTAATTAATATGAATTCATCTTATTTATTAGTCGAATTTGTTAATTTAACTTAAATTGACTATTTTTTAAACTCCAAGATCTAACCCATCTTTTACCTCACTTTAATTGGAGACCAATTTTGGGCTTTTTAGTGCCATTTCCAGCAGCTCACTTCTCAAACTAAACAAACCCATTATTTTCTAATTTTCAGCATTGCCAAAATCCAACCCCATGCAGCCAAATACAATTCCCAGCCCATTTCCAATTCAACCAAAAGACCAAAGACCCATTCCAGCAGCGTGCAATACACCCAACGACCCCCTGCACGTTCTCTTCTTCTTCCTTGTGAGAAGAAACCCAGAAACCGGCAGCCTGCAACGCGAGCCCAAATCCAAATCGAGTCCAGCAGCCCAGAATCGTGAACCCGACCCATCTTGCGCAACAACTCGTGCTTTCTCTCCATCTCTCTGTGTCCTCTCCGTACAATAATTTTCTAGGTGTCAAAATCGTGATGCTAGACCGTTCTTTTCTCAAGATCGAAGGGATCTCATTTTCATTCGTTGAAGAATTGTACTATTTAATAGCTGGCCGACCTTATCTCTTAAAGGAATTCAACTTTTGTATTTGAAATGGATCCCATTTTCGTTTCCATTTTCCCCCTCATTATTTTAGCCCAAAATCTCCTCTTATATAAACCCCTCTTCTTCTTCATTGTGGGGGTTGGATTTTATTTTATTTCTGTAGAAGAAACAATAAGAGCAGCTTAGGCAAAAACAACCAAAACATATAGAAATGCATTCAAGAAAAGATAAGAGGCAACTAGTTCTGATCTGAGTGTCATTCTTCTTTCTCACTTATCATCATTTGTCGACGTTCGTTAGTGTTTAAGATTCTGCCCATGTCTCCTATTTG